CTTATGTTTTCCCAGAGACTGAGGAAAAAATGCTGAGAAGCCACTGGACACAAGAAAAAGTTCTTTCTAGACTTTAAATTGACAACAAAACAAAACACATTGGCAGCCTAGAATTAAAAGCAGGGGTGCAGATTTTTCCCAAGTATTCTTTTTTTTTTCAAATTTATTTTTATGTGTATGAGTTAGTTGTCTGACTGCATATCTGTGCACCATTCACGTGCCTGGTTACCTCAGAGGCCAGAAGAGAGCATTGGATCACTGCAGACTGCAGTTACAGAGCTGCAGATGGAACCTGGGCCATCTGGAAGAACAGCCAGTGCTCTTAACTTCTGTGCCATCTCTCCAGCCCCTTAGTATTCTTTTCATTGTTATTTTTATATCTTTATTGCGATATAACTCATATACCATATAATTCGCCCATTTAAAGTGTACAGTTCGGTCAGTCAGTGCTACATACCCATAATTCCATAGGCTACTCTTGGGTCGTCACAGAGAGTTCAAGGCCAGTTTGAGTAAAAGTGAGGTAAGCCTAAATTATATAGTAGGACCCTGTGCCAAGAAAGAAAGGCCGAAGGTGGTGGCGCACACCTTTAATCCCAGCACTCAGGGAGCAGAGGCAGGTGGAGCTCTGAGTTAGAGGCCAACCTGGTCTACAGAGTGAGTTCCAGGGCAGCCAGGCTTACACAAAGAAACAGTGTCTCAAAAAACCCAAAGAAAGAAAAAGAAGAAGAAAGGAAAAAAAAATAAAAGGAAGGAAGGAAGGAAGGAGAAAGGGAAAGAGGGCTAGAGAAACGCTGAAGTTAGGAAATACTTCCTGTTCTTCCAGAGGACCTGAATCCCATACCCAGCACTCAGGAGGACGAGACAGGTAAATCTCTATGAGTTCCAGGCCAGCTTGGTCTACATAGTGAGTTCCAGGTCAGCCAATGCTACATAGACTGTCTCAAAATTGTTTTAATTACTTTTATGGAGGGTAGGGGGAGAGCACACGTGCACATACACATATGCATACCAGAATAAGCGTGTGGAAGTCAGCGGACAACATACAGGGGCTGGACCTCTCCTATATGAATCCTGAGGCTTGAATCAGGTTGTCAGGGCATTGCACAGAGTTTTCATAGTCCTGTTTCCATTCCTTTGTATGGATATGTAGGCACAGAATTATGGTCATAAAGTAGCCCAGATGAACTATTTGAGAAATTCTCAGTCTTTTCTTTCTTTTTAAACTTTATGTGTACCATCTGCACACCTAATGCCCTTAGAGGCCAGAAGAGGGAGTCAGATCCATAACTGCAGTAAGGGACAGTTGTGAGACACCATGTGGGTGCTGGGAACTGAACCCAGATTCTCTTCCAGAGCAGCCAGTGCTCTTTAAAAAAAAATGGTGTTTTTTTTTTTTTTTTTATTGAACTATACATTTTTCTCCACTCTCCTCCCTATGTATGCAGTATTCTGTCTGCATGCATGCCTGCAGGTCAGAAGAGGGCAGCAGATCTCATTACAAATGGTTAGGAGCGGCCGGGCGGTGGTGGTGGTGGTGGTGGTGGTGGTGGTGGTGGTGGTGGTGGTGGTGGCGGCGGCGGCGGTGCACGCTTTTAATCCCAGCACTCGGGAGGCAGAGGCAGGCGGATCTCTGTGAGTTCGAGACTAGCCTGGTCTACAAGAGCTAGCTCCAGGACAGGCTCCAAAACCACAGAGAAACCCTGTCTTGAAAAACAAAAACAAAAACAAAACAAAACAACAACAACAACAAAAAACCAAATAGTTAGGAGCCACCATGTGGTTGCTGAGAACTGAACTCAGGACCTCTGGAAGAACAGCCAGTGCTCTTAACTGTTAAGCCATCCCTCCAAGTCCATCTTTCTTTCTCCTCTTTTTCTTTCTTCTTTTTTTAAAATAAAAAAAAAATTGAGCCGGGTGGTTGTGGTGCACACCTTTAATCCCAGCACTCGGGAGGCAGAGGCAGGTGGATCTCTGTGAGTTCGAGGCCAGCCTGGTCTACAAGAGCTAGTTCCAGGATAGGCTCCAAAGCCACAGAGAAACCTTGTCTCGAAAAAACAAACAAAGAAAAAATTGGTCGCGTGGTGGTGGCTCCAAAGCTACAGAAAAACCCTGTCTCAAAAAAACCAAAAAAAGAAAGAAAAAAAAAAGAAAAGAAAAAAAAGGGCTGGAGAGATGGCTCAGAGCTTAGGAGCACTGGCTGCTCTTACAGAGGTCCTAAGCTCAATTCCCAGCAACCACATGGTAGCTCACAACCATCTGTAATGAGATCTGGTGCCCTCTTCTGGCGTGTGTGCACAGGCAAGCAGGTTAAATAAGTAATTTTTTTTTAATTTGAGAAAAGGTTTTTAATATTACCCTGATAGTCTGGAAGTGGAATTGACTATGTAGCTCAGGCTGGCTTTAAGTGTGTGACAATCCTCTCCCTTTGAGGTGGATGCTGTGAACGTGTGTTGTGCCACTGAACCTGGCTGCTAGACTGTTCTCCAAAGCAGGCACCACCTTACCATTTTACATTGCTACCAGAGCACATGAGGATTTTAATTTTTCCACATTCTTGGCAACCTAACTATGCTTTTTTAAAAAAATATTTATTTATTTATTTTGTATACAATATTCTGTCTGTATGCCTGAAGGCCAGAAGAGGGCGTCAGACCTCTTTACAGATGGTTGTGAGCCACCATGTGGTTGCTGGGAATTGAACTCAGAACCTTTGGAAGAGCAGGCAATGCTCTTAACCACTGAGCCATCTCTCCAGCCCCTAACTATGCTTTTGAGAAATAATAATGGCACCACAGAACCCCAATCTAACTTGGGTAGCTATTATTTATTTACCAGCTAGTGTAGTACATAGATAAAAAGGGTCTTGTCTAAACACTAGCTGTCCCTGTCGAGGTAGAAGAGGAAAAGAGCAGTCTAATGGAAAACGGGACCAAGGAAGAGACAAAAAAGAGTGGATGGAGCCAGGCAGTGGTGAGGCAGCACGCCTTTAATCCCAGCACTCGGGAGGCAGAGGCCAGCAGATCTCTATCAGTTTGAGGTCAGCCTGGTCTACAGAGTGAATTCCAGGGCTATGAAGAGAAATCCTGTCTGGAAAAGCTACACACACATGCACACACACCAAGGGGGGAGAGAAAGAAAAGAGAAGGAAATGAAGAAATAGCAAGAAGCTTGGGGAGCTGGTCACTTCTGGCTGGACTTTTGTTCTATGCCTTGCCGTCATCCTTTGCTTCCCACCAATCCACATAATTGGTCTGGAAATGTTCTTTCTTGGGCTAAAAGAAATGAATTCAGGACCCGGCTATGGTACGCAAGATTTGATTTAAAAAAAACCAAGATCTAGTATTTAATTCTCAACATTGTAAACAAGAGAAGTGTTCCCTCTTTGTTTTTATTATTTCCTTACAGTCTTGTCGCTGCAAGTATAAGATACAAAAATACAGGAGAATGACAGGTTTTTCTCCACAGGACACTAAATGGCCCATCCCTAAAAGGATGTTGGCTACCTTTCCACTGTGGCGTGAGGACAGGGCTCACCACATAGCCGTATTCACAGTGACTGGCCTTTCTTTTACATAATTCTTGCTTTCTGTGTCTAGCTAGACTACATTGTGAATAGAGTCAACACCAGGTCCTGATCTCTTCTCCTCAGAGCCCCTCACCTCCGTGTTCAATTGTTTCCTGCCTCCTCTTTGAAGTCCCTAGTAAACGAGTGCGCACACACTCTACTGTCATCTCTCCTTACATGAATTCTTCAGGTAGTTCTGCCTTCTCTGTGTTGTGGGTTTGGAAGGGAAGATAGCGAAATACATGAGGTGCCAATGCAATTCCTCCTTTAGCAGAGCTCTGCAGGAAAATTAGCCAGCCTGCTCGGCTTTATAGGTCTCATAAACCCTCTTTTATGAAAACACTGTGACAGCCGGGCGCTGCATTGATTATGTGGCAGTCTTCAGCCACATTCCTTCTTAACTGCAAAACAGCCCTGCTTTCTAGCCCAGCATTGACCATGTGACCTTTAAATTACTGCATTTATGTAAGCCTTTCCCTAGCTAGGGGCAGTGTCCAACTCCATCAAACCTAGGGAGGAAGATTGGTGATTGCTACTTCTCCAGTAGTTCTTTGGCTCTGTAGCCTAGGGTCTCTTGTCGGAATCAATTTGGGGCGCCACGGTGTTTTCAAAGGAGGTTTGCTAAGGATGGAATGTACAGGACCGCCCATCCCCTTTCATGAAGGAACTGAGGAAATAGGTAATAAAACGTGTTGGCAGATGCCAAGTAGTAGCTGATCCCCAGAGGCTTGCCTGACCTTTACTGACAGAGAGGCTGGAAAGGAAGATGGGAAGGGAGTTGGAAAGCAGGATTTGAAGGAGTTACAAATCGGGTTCAGACCCCAGAATCACCATTTGTTGAGCAGTATAGAACCATAATCCTTAACTACAAGGGAAAAGAAACGTTAGTATTCAAAAGAAATCCTGGTAACAGAGAGGTGTCTATTCAGATCAAGAATATGACCTTTAGCTTACTGCACTGGAGCAGCTTAAATCTGTCCACTCGAGGATTTTACTGAAGGACATCAGGGGTGTGGTCTACAGGTTTTAAAACAGGACCAACCGAGATGATCTGTGTGGCTAGGGGCACCATTAACCGACCAACAAAGCAGATGCTGAAGGATCTGCACTGGAGGCACAAAAAGCATGGGCTAGACCAGCAGCAACCAAAGCAAACGTGGAAGAGAAACCGCTATTGCAAGTACTAGGTGTACGTAGGCAGTCAGCCTGGCCCCAGTAGAACACGAGGGGCTCTGTCTTTAGCAGCTGCAAACCTAGGGCTCCTATACATAAGGACCCAGGCAAACGTAGCCTTTGTTCAGAGATTAAGCAATTCTCTAAGACAGGTCAGTGTTAATGGACTCGCCTACGTCGTCAGCCTGGTGTGTTTCTAGCCCCGCCTTTTTTGGGCGGGATCGCCCCGCCCTGTTACCGCCCCGGGGTGGGGCTCCCGCCGGCTCCAGGCAGCCCTTTCCTCCTTGGCCTCTGCCAAGGCTGCTGTGTCCTGCGGAGCTCCGAGCACGTGTAGGTGAGTGAGGGCCCGACGAGGAAAGGTCCTGGAGATTTTACCTACCTAGGCGAGACGGAGGGTGTGAAGGCTTCTGCCTGGGCACGGGAAGAGACGGGGGCTTGTTTCCTTGTGCCTCCGGCCTTGGAGGTCATCGTGAAGGGATTAGGGGAAATCGTAACCCCAAGACCAATGAATGAGGTGCGGTCCCTCTGCAGCTGGGGAGTCACCTGGAATATGTTCAGAGTTTAGCATTTCTGGAGCTCCGGGCAGGGACTGTGAACGGTTCGTGGGGAACACGTGTCCATGGGGAACCAGAGCTGCTTCAGCCCACGCCCTGAAAGGGTAGTTAGACCTGAACAATGAGGCCTATATTATTTTTCCTATTCCTTTAAATTGCTTAGAGTGGGTTAGACGTGAGGTTTGGGAACGGCATGAGCTTGGATAACTTGCCTTATATATGTTATAATAGTGTGCAAAGTGTCAGATACTGAGGTTCTTAGCACAAGTCCCCTCACCGTGACTACAGTTTTTAGATAGTTACTGTAATCCTACTAGAGAACTCTGAGGCAGTTAGCTATTTTGGTTAGGGATAGAGCTCCCAAAGGTAAGCTGTTTGTCTACTCTTGTGTCTGTCTGGCTGGCTCAACCTTCACAAGGTGAAGAGGGCTTGGGGGCAGAGAGTTTTGTTTTCTCTTTTATTTTTAACTGCACGGGCATTGACTGCTGGCTGGCTTTAATCTGGGATGTTTTGATTTCATAGTGCCCGGCTGCCAATTTGAGGAGATGCCTGCCCTGGTGAGTACGATTCCGCTAGTTCTCCTTTGCCCCAGCTGTAGGCAGCTGCCTAGGTTTCCTTGTACCTAGGCAAGTGTTACACGGCTGGGAGAACAGCAGCCAATAGCTGGTTGGCGTTCTGGGCCTGGTTCATGCCAACTCTGTTGTTAACTACTCCAGGATGTCAGCATAGTTGCTTACCCGCTAAGGTAAAGAGCAAGTTATGCAGGAAGAAACCTAAAGGTCAGGTCTCTAGTGGTTCTGGTCTGGCAAGTTTGACATGGGTTACTCGAATCACAACTTGGAAGCAGAACAAAAGAAATCAAGCCAGTGAGGGTGTAAACATAGAAACATCCAGATTTAGAGCCTGAGACAGTGGAGGAGGTTGCTGGAATGTGCTCTCACTACAAGTACATGGCTCCCACTCCCCACAATAGTAAGAGCTGGACTATGGCACCCCCTTCATTTTTCTAGATGGGTTTCTCTGTAACAGCTCTGGCCAGCATCCTGGAACTCATTTGTGTGTCAGGTTGGCCTCAAACTCAGATTCACAGGCCTCTGTGCTGGGATTAGTGTGAGCCACCAATGCGGGACAATATCCCTTTTTCAAAAGAGACTTCAGAAGTGCACCATGGAATGAGCTCACTGACGGGAATGCTGAATCTGGTGTTGTGGCATGCCGCATCCCCTTGAGGTTATCTAGGCAACCTAGAAGCCCAGTCTCAACAAAAGTTAGTATTCTGCTCTAGTTTTTCAATAAATGTTATGAATATCAATCATGGGGTTCTGGAAACTAAGCTTAGGTCAAACAGTACCAAGTGAACACTTATCTTTTGTTTGATCTGTTTTGTTATTAGGATGCTGGTTCTCTAAGAATGCCACAATTTTAGGCAAACCCATCACTCAGAATGAATCATGATTATCCAATAGAGCCCACCTAGTTACTGCTTCTGTGAAAACTAACATCCTGCCAAGGCCCCTCCCTTTTCTCTCTTTTGGACCGGGCTCCTTACCAGACTTGGTATCACCTGAAGTTCCATGACTCAGCAAGTCACTTTCCAGTCTGCACCCAGACACTTGAATTTGAATAGACACTCAGGGATGGCTAGGAATTAGCTCTGCAAACAGGCACCCCTAATCGATTTCCAGAAGTTACCCTGAGTGGTGTTTTAGGGGACCAAAATCGGGTTTTACCTGGTCCATCAAGCACCCCTGTGTGCATCTTCTGACACACCCCATTGGTAGCCTCCATGCTACTCACATCTTAATCATGCTTGCCTCCATCCACCCTTTTGCTCCTTGATCTAATGCCATAGGCTACCAAACCAAACAAACTAGCTCTGATCACAATATTGACAGGAAAGTTACTGCCCTATGCTACCCACTCCAAACCCCATCTACCTCCGCCTGCCCTTGGGTTCACGCCCATAATTACTTTGTTATTCTTATGCACCAGTACTGGCTTAGCCTAGGAAATGTCCTTCAAGCAGGCCTGCCTTAGCATTAGCTATTCCTCTGCATTGGCTTTTCCAAGTATCTGGATTCTTGCCTTCCCGCCCCTCAAATTCTTACTCCCCTGACACTGATCCCAGTTTTAACATCTTAGAATAACTTTTAAACTCAGATAACTCCAACTATCCCTTCCTTTGATCTTCTTGATCCAGCTATCAGGGAAGTGGGTTGCAGGCCACCAGAATGTTTTATAAATTAACCTCTTAAAAGGGACTCAAGTATACACTGGGAACAGACTTCTGGGAATAGTCTTAGGACTAGTGAGGAGCAGGTGGCTTCAGAGGAGTTAGCAGGATGACAGGACACAAATTACATTTATTTTCAGTGGAAGGGCAAAGGATAACATGTAATAGGTAGTTCTCTGCTTCAAATATTCAGTCCCGGGGAAGGACTGACTAGTTACTTATATAGGGCAATGTTAATACTATTATGAATTTCTAAGCTTATTTGCTTGATTTCTTTAGGATGACTTGGAAGTAGGGTGGTCTTCGCCCCCCTGAGAAGTAGTGCAGGTGTGCTTATCAGGTAAGTGTCTATTCTAGCATTGCCTTCTCTGCCTCATCGCTATGGATACACATCAGGAAACAAAGGGAAGCAGATTTACTCTTGGAGTTGACTGCAGAATTTTGATGTTTTTGTTTGACAGTATGAAGGATCTTTGTCTGCCATTCCAACTGAGGAATGATTTATAGGGATGTTGTGAGTCCTAGAAGACAAAAGTGCAGTGTGTCTTGTTCACTGCTAACAGTCTTAAGTTTAGTCCCTCCAAATGGCGGAGGCTGCTGTTGTAAGACTGGAAGTGAAGTCTGTTCATGTCTGCTACCTGCAGTCAGAGTACGTGAGATGGGAAAGGAGATTTTTCTGGAGTGATCCAGCAGTTGTCAGCTGTCCAGGCTGTGTGGTGCCTGTGGCTGTGTTACACTGTTGGAAGAATAAGCGCTGTTTTATTGAGGGTTGGCCCCACACTGTTTTGGTGTGGTGCCGGCTACCTTCAGGCAGTGTTTTGCATCCCTGAGAGTGGAATGACTCCTTGTGGAGTTGGTCCTAGTCTAGGTGCAAACAATTGTTTTCCATGCTAAAAGGAATGGGACTGAATGGAATACAGCTGTGTGGGGAGGCTTTGCCTCCTTTGCACTAAACCTGGCAGTTTACTGACAGCATGTTACCTTTTCCTGGATTCTAGGAGAATGAGAAGGCTGCCTCCATCAGGACTTCGGGTTTCTGACAACACCGTGTTTTGAGTAATGTATGTGGTCCCTGTAATGTCGAGGTCCTAATTAAAGTGCTCACGGACAGGGGAAGTTAAATTTGCCTTAGAGGATTAAAGAGCTGTGATACTTCGGGGAATGCTTGCAAAGTCCAGCTAGTTTGGGGATGGGACAGTGATGGAATTCACACCAGGGCAGCTGAGCTACATCTCCAGCTATAATTCCTTTTTTTTTTTTTAAACATTTATTGTATATGCAGTATTCTGTCTGTCCATATGCTTGCTGGCCAGAAGAGGGCACCACATCTCATTGCAGATGACTGTGAGCCACCATGTGGTTGCTGGGAATTGAACTCAGGACCTCTGGAAGAGCAGTCAGTGCTCTTAACCTCTTGAGCCATCTCTCCAGCCCCCCAGCTATAATATCTTGAGGTACTAGATGATGGCCATGTACTACTGGACATGGCTCACTACTTTGTTCTCGGATCTATTTGAATAGTAACCATCTCATGCCAGCTCAGAACATTTCAAACACTTTGGGACACTGGTTTTGAAAAGCAAAGGTCTTTTAAGTTCCTATAACACTCCAGATAGGAAATATTGTTAATAATGTGTTTTTGCAACTGTGTGTGAAAAGCAGACGATGTATCAGCAAATGAACGCAGCTATATTCCAATAAAGCTTACTGATGAACACTGAGATTGGAATTTCATTGAAACTTTCAGGGTAAAAATTCCCAAATGTTTGAAAGCTTTAAAAAAATTCCCAGGGGCTACTGACAAAGGTAGCAGAATAGATTTAGTAACATTTCTGACCTTTGAGTGAAGTTCAGGCCTTGGGATGGAACAGCATTAGTTACAGTATCAAAATGTATCTTCACACATTTTTAAGATAGTCTAACCCAGACTAACCTCAAGTAGGTGATCCAACTGGATCAGCCTCCTGAGTGCTAGAGTCATCGATCACATGCCAAACTTGTCTGTGTTTCTTATCTGAAAAGAATAAAGTCACTATATTATCTAGAAGAAAAAGATCATCCTCCTTATCCTTGGGTTTACATGGCTTCTATTCTAGTGGTTCTCACCATTTGTAATGAACTTAAAGCAAAGGTATATGACACGTATGTGGACCCTCTGGGATGATTGGCTCAGAACCAGGTATTCTAGGGGACCAGCAAGATAAACCACCGAATCTGTCAGGCCCAAGACTATTTTGAGGCACAGTTCCTTGTGTATGCGAGTTAGGCCTAACCCTACCTCCATCCCTGAAGTGCTGGAATGGTAGGTGAGCACTCCCACAGCCTGTCTCCCAAGTTACGGGGTTGCAGGTTTAGAGCACTCTTTGAAAGAGACAGTCTTGTGTAACCAAGCCTTAACTATGTTACTATGTAACAGTAACTTCCTGTACCTTGCAAGCAGTCTGATTACTGGCATGTACTACCATGCCTCTCCTGCAGGGATTTTTGTATCTGTAGTTTTGTGAGCATATGGAGACATGATGGTGCTACTCACTAGTGGAGTTAAGAGGACGAAAACACTCATGAGGGTTCTGGGAATCCAACTCAAGTTGTGAGGCTTGGCAGGAGGCTTTAAATTATTTATTTTTAGGGGTTGGAGGGACAAGTCAGTCTTCCAGAGGACCCAGCATCCACACACAGTGGTTCACAACCATCTTTGTCCCAGGACACTATGCATGTGGTGTATAGGCATATAAGCAGGCAAAACACCCATTTCTGTAGAAATAAACATTAAAATTTCATGTGTGCATATTTGTATGTCCTCTGTGTGCCTGATGGCATGAAGTCAGGCTAGCAGGTCCCCTAGAACTGGAGTTAGGATGGATGTGAGCCACCCAGGTGCTGGGAAGTGAACCCTGGTCTGAAGCAAGGGCAAAAGGTTTTAGGTCCTGGGTCTGCATAAATTAAAGGAACATGTTTGAAATAAGTAGGCAGAGCTGGTGGTGGTGCACACCTTGAATCCTAACACAAATAGACCTCGGAGTTTGAGGGCAGAGGAACCCTGTCTCAAAAGTCAAAAAAAAAAGGTGTAGTTCTGCCGTTAATGGTGGCTATTCATTACTTTGTCACTTACTGGGTTTAAACAGGTGACACTAGGGTTTTTCTTGAAATTTTGGGCCAGGCCTTAAATTATAGTTAGAAACAACCCAATGGGATAAATTCTGCAGGTCCCAAAGGGACGCAAAAAGACCTCCAGTGCCTAAGAATTTACACAAAGGAAAAGAACAGGGTAAGAGCAACTAATTAGAGACTTGAAAAGGGTTGAAATGACTCTTGAGAATTGTGAGTAGTTCCTGCTAATGGAGCTGTGGTGAACTCTTAGGAAAACCATTTCTCTGGGCTAGTGAATTCTTCAGATTTTTTTTGCCTACTACTGTGTAGAGACGCCTACAGTGAATCAATTTACTAACTCGTGTTTCTCAATGTGCCACCCTACTGTTGATTTATCCTGAAAGGGAAAGCAGTTCATTGTGTAGAAGTAACATCTACACACCCATGGTTCTTTCTCAGGGATAGGTTTCTGGGCAAGGATATTAAATATTTATTGTAAACTTCCCATGGGTGTGTTCCCCCAGAGCTTTCTGAACCTCTTGTGGGTGTCTGGGAACTTGACTTTGGCTCTCTATAAGAACACAATACATTTTTAACTGCCAAGCCATCTCTAGCCACCTAAGCTGCATTCTTCTGTTATTAAATAAGATCAGCTCTTGCCATGTAAAACCCAGTTTTTTCCATTGTTGGGGACTGAACCCAGGATCACATGTTGAACAGTGGACAAAATTACTAGATGAAAACTCCATGGGAGGGAAGACCCTTACTATTTACTGTTTGTGAATAAATTCATGGTAGATTGTAAAGATTGACAGTTGGGTGTAAAGTTATTGTGACTTGTTTTGTGACATGGTTTCCAGCCAAAACTCTCCTCTACCTTGGTATCTAGTGACTGAGCTTCCTGATCCTCCTGCCTTACAGGTGTGCGAGACTTCTCAAATTGTGTTGAGGATGGAACCCAGGGCCTGCCAGCTGTGCTACATCTTCAGCCCGAGAACTTCTGTCAAAAAATGTTTGACTCAAACATTAAAAAAGCAGTGGCGCATGCCTTTACTCCTAGCACTGAGGAGGCGGAGGCAGTCTGCTCTCAAACTTGGCTCAATTGGGGTTGCAGGCATTAGCTAACCTAATATTTTAATATATTTTGTCCTTCATAGATATAGCCTTTTCCTATTAAAAAGGTCCTTATTGCTAGCCTAGATCCTGAGCCTTCTCTCCCCGCTCCCAGGCCAGGTTTCAGGGGACAGTCCTCCAGTTTCCCATCTTTGTACCCCCAAACTACTATGACATACTTGATGAATACAGGCTCACAAGTCTGTCTTTGTGATGTCTCTTCACACCTGTCTTTCATTTCACTGCAGAGCGTCAATAAACAAAAAGTGTTTCACTTGTATACAGCTGAGATGCCGGTAAAGTGTAAGCGTTGGGTGTGTTGTGATTTGAGATTGGACAGGAAGATCTTATTTCTGTTGGGTCCTGCTTTCACTGATGCACAGAAATGGCTCCCTAATGTCTTCGGAGGCGTTTCTATTGGTGACTTATAGGTTTCCTCTTTCCAACCTCTCCTTGCTAAGATATTCTAATGATTGTATTTAATATAAGCTATTTAAAATAGCAAGTAAGTTACTTCAGCTCTGATTTCTCTTGCTACACATTCTTCATAGGCTGGGTCCTGTGTCCTTTCCATACATTCATCAATCAATCTTAATTTTTTCTCTTCCTGTTGATCATTGTGATTAACTTATTTCCAAGTATTCCTCCACTTTTGTTCACTATTTTTGTAGAATGTCATGCTGTGAGGCATCCATTGTGGGTTCGTGTGTATGTGTTAATAACCAGGATTTGTGTCTGTTAATTCTTCTATAGCCTTTCTGGAATACATATCTTATTGCATATGCAACCCAAGGAGAATAGCTCTTTACTACCTCCTCGGTCTTTGTAATTTTACCTACAAAAGCACTTGTGTTTTTACCCCTGCTTCTAATACCTGAGATCAGTCTCTTCACTTGCCTTAAACACTTTAACACCAGATCATTAGCTTTCTCATTCCTCAGATTATTATCTATTATTTTTACCTAGCTAAATTGATGCACATTTTGGTTTCTATCTGCATATACTGAAAGCTCCATGAGGACAAAGATGGTTTTATCACAGCTGACCGTTTCTCTAAGGCCTAATTGATAGAAGCACTGATGAAATAAAACAGTAAATTGAGGTAAAGTGCTGAGAGTTGGCTTTTTTACCTGTCAAAATGAACTGGTTGTGTGTGAATAGCATTACCTCAGGAAGCATCCAGAACTTTTTTGTTTTTTCGAGACAGGGTTTCTCTGCTTTGGAGCCTGTCCTCGAACTCACTCTGTAGACAAGGCTGGCCTCAAACTCCCCAATAATTAAATCTTTCTACCTTCCAAATTTTGAGTTCTATGAGGGTGGTTGCAGCCTGAAGGGTTCCCTAATCTCAAAGCAGAAGAATCTCAGGTCCCAGGACTTTTTGCAGCAGAGAACTCTCAGAGGCGGGTCTATTGCCGGTTCCAGGGAGTCCTCAAACTGTTTATGGTCTCTGCAGAGATCTTTCTTCACAGCAGAAAAATTCAGCCTTTTTTTTTTTTTTTTTTTAAAGATGGTGTGTTGGCATCTTAATTCTCGAACTGCCCTATCCACCGCTAATTAATTCTATGTCACAGGAGTTTCTGGCTAAACAACTAAAATTTAGTTCCCTCTAGCACGGTTCCTCACCGGACAAATCGGAGAGTATAGATCACCCGCCTACTGCTCCGTTTTTTGGGGTGTTCTGCAGCATCACTGAGGTGTTGAGGCGCCCCGCATTTTTCAGGGAGGTGTGCGAACCAGTGGACGCGCTCGTGCCGCTTTTCCCGCCTTCAAGAGCGCAGGGAGGCGACCGCTACAGAGAACAACGCCGCCGCGTGTGTCGGGGACCCGCCCCGCGCAGGGGGAGGGGCTAGCGCGTGCCGAACTGGAACGGGGGCGGGGGTGGGAACGGGCGCTCTCGCGAGAGTGAGCTCTCGTTCCGTCGCCACCTCCTGCCAGCGCCGTTGCTGCGGGGGATTGTGGGAGCCTCCGCGTCCCGCTCGCTGAGAGAGGCATCTCTCCTTTTCCCTCTCCCTTCCCCAAAGGTAGGCGTGAAGCGGGTAAGAGTCCGGGTGGGTGGCCGGGGCTGTCCGCGTCCTGCGAGCGGGGCTGCCGCCGCGGCCGTGCCTGTCGGGAGCTGGCGGCGCGCCGTTCCCGCTCGCTCCCGCTCCCCGTGCGGTCTCCGTCGGCGCTGCGTATGTGAGCCGCCTGAGCGGCGGCCGCCATGTTAGGAGTGCGGTGGCGGCGCAGCCTGCCTCCCCGGGCGGCGGAGGTGAGCCGTTCGGCGGGAGGACGCGCAGGCAGCCGACGGCCCGGGGGTGCAGCGGGAGAGTCGGGGTCCGGAGGTTCGATTCGCCTCTCCGCCGAGCGTCCTGCGCGCCTGGCTTAGGGGGCGGGGGCGGGACGAGCCCGTTACACGCGGGCCGCCGGCGCTGGGAGGAGGGAGGAGCGTTCGGAGCCCGAGGGAGCGGAGGCCGTCCGCTGGGGCCCGCCGTCCGGGGAGGGAGGGTAGTCAACCCCGGGAAGTCCGTGGGCGCGCGAGTCCCGCACGGTGCGTTTGCCGTTTTCCCCTGAAAATAGACCCAAAATGGAGGATTCCGTAGGCCGTGAAAAGCTTACGTGTTTTGACCGACGTTGCTTTCCCTGGCGTCAGTGGCCTTGCCGTCCCTCACCCCTCGCTCCGTTTTGCTCCATTCCCAAGACTCCCGCGTCCCTCGCCCGCGCGCGATTTTAGCCCGACATCTGGAACAATTCCTCCCCATCCCCCCAGTTGCGTAAAAATGGCCGAAAATGAAACGTTAACGTTTGGCTTTTGTATTGCCTCCTGGGTAGAGCTTTCTGCATGCTCCTCGGTAGAATGTTCGTTTCGTCAGTCAGTCACCTCATATTTCCTTTCTCTATCAAAACAGTCCTCTGGACAGGCTGGTGTGTTGGGAGACCTTCCGGTTTTCAGACAAAGGGTTCGGAGGGCCGTGGTGTAGCCTTCAGTCTCTTCTGCTAGTGCTGTGCCACGCTTTTGTGTTTTCCTCTTACCGTAGGTGTTTGCCCCTTCGGCGCTTTACCTGTTAGGTGACTCTGTCTAAAGGATTAGCCCCTTCTGTGGAATATTTCTCTGTTGGATAGGTTACAGTTACTCATCTAGACGTTTCGAGAAATTTCTAGTCTTTCTGGAGCTCTGAAATTGTGTGTCGCTGATTTCATAGGAAGTAATCATGGGATTTTTGTGTTGATGCTGCGTGTTGCGTATTTAAATGGGCTAAGTTGTCAGTCGGTACAACACGCTTCGCCCAGGTAAATTTAGATTTGACTATGCCGGCAAAAAAATTACATCGCGGGCGATTTTTCATGGGTGTTGAAAAGCTCTTTAAAAGCTAATTGTTGGGCGTAATGACGCATACTTGTAATAGCGGCACTTGAGACCAGGGCGGACGAAGAATTGCCATGACTTCGGGGCCAGTCGTGGTAACATCAGGATTGTCTCAAAACAGCATTATTTTACTAACAGTTAAGTTACCCTACGCATTGTATAAATTTCTTTTTGAGGTCGCTGAAGGAACTCTATATCCTCCTGTCTCAGCATCCCTAGAGCTGAATTACCTACAGGCCTGTGCCACCACGCCCAGTTAGCTTCATAACTTATGAACATTAGTATTTTAGGAATCTGAAAGGAGGGGGAAGTATTTTATTGCAGAAACCCCCAAGGTTGCCTTTGCACTTAAATGTCACCGAAGTATTACTAAAAGATTCTTCTGGTTGGTTATATAATCCTTGAAAAAGATACATTTACCCAACGTGTTTTACATTGAGGTTTTTTAAGTTTACATTTTTGCCATTTCACAAGTAGTTTATGATTCCTACCCATAGAAGTAGCTTTCTCTTACTTCCTCATCAATTATATACAACTTTTATGTAGCGTTTTAAACATGAATTGATTTGGAAGTATTTAACTTTTTACCTGATGCTTTTAGACCAAGAAATAATAAAGTGATACATTTTTAAAAGCGGGAATGCAGCTATAATATCTTATATTTTAGAAATATCATGGTTTACTTAAGTGCTGTGGTAGAAGAGAGTATTAAATCTTTTTGGGTTGGGTTTTTTTTTTTTTTGTCTTTCTTTGGAGATAGTTTTTTGGGTTTTTTTTTTTTTTTGAAACTCATTATGCTTCAAACTCAGAAGACATCCACCTGCCTCTGCCTCCTGAATACTATAGTTAAAGGCGGTCACCGCCATGCCCCTGCCTGAGTATCAAGTTTCAATTTTATAGTGACAATGCACTAGCATGGTCCTTGATAAACTAAGATTTGGAAAGGTTGCACTTAAATTTATCCTAATAGTCAAATTGTGTATGATAAATATTAATGGCAGTTTTTAAGTGTGGAATTTTAATTGATGGAGTTGAGTGATGTCACTTTTACTTGGCATTATTAATGCACAGAGGCTCCGGGCTTGTTGGTAGGCAATAAAAGTTGAAAACTTCAGTTTGGGAGAGGGGTGTTTTATTGTGGAAATGGAAATCTATACTACTGCTACTTTCAAATAATATTTTAAGAGGAGGGTAATATTAAATAATTATGCTATACATTATTACATGGAAAGTCAGTATTGTGGATGTCAACTTTGATTTGTTAAATATATAGAAAAATATATATCCAAAAAAAGTTTTCTCTGAAGTTTGATCCTAGGTCAGTTTATATTTCCTGCTTGGTGATTTTTCTAAAATTCCTTTAAGAAGTTAACATTTACTGTTTGTTTTTTGTTGGATCATGGTTTTGACACAATAACTCAGGCTGGCCTCCAGTTTTCCATTTTCCTGCCTCAGCCTCCAAAGTGCTGCCTCCATTTGCTTTTGTAATGAGGAAAAATAGGTGTGTGGGTATAAATAGTTGAAGTCTTTATCAGATCAGATTCTCGTGGTTTTTAGGATCTCATTTTTAAGAAGAATCAAGGTAGAAGTAGACCAGCTTTATTTTTTTGGTTTTTCCGAGACAGGGTTTCTCTGTGGTTTTGGAGCCTGTCCTGGAACTAGCTCTTGTAGACCAGGCTGGTCTCGAACTCACAGAGATCCACCTGCCTGCCTCTGCCTCCCGAGTGCTGGGATTAAAGGCGTGCGCCACCACTGCCCAGCTGAAGTAGACCAGCTTTAAACAAAGTTTGGAACAGAAATGACAAAAAAACTAGTACTTGTGTTATCAAATATCAGATAATGATTTGTTAGATGTTCTTAGTATATCTATCTATACAGAATATGTTCTCTTTATTCTAAAATTTCTTTTTGTTTTTTATTTTTGTAACTGGGTCTCATTGCGTACGTAGATCAGGCTGACCTCAATCTCAGAGATCCTACTGCTGTTGCCACCTGCCCAGCACTGGGATTAAAGGCATGCAACATCACACCCAGCTGTTCTGAAATCCTTAATAAAAAAAACTTTGTTTTTAAACTATAGATATCTAAAAGTAGAACAGAAAGAAACTACAATTGAGGAAATTTTAGATGTGTTGTCTTTAAGGGATTTTTATACATAACTTTTCAAATTAAAATGGCGTGGGGAAGATTTCGGACTTTAGAGTTTACAGGATTGTTTTGTTTTGAAGTCATTAAGGCCATGTGGAATGTATAGTATGATCCTCTTCCTACCCACCAGCCTCCCCCAACAAATCCTCTTAAGGTACTCAGCTGTGTATGTTTTAAGTGTGATTATGTTAGACAGTAACAGTGAATCTGGGCTAGTTTGTTTTTAGAAACAGGGTTTTCCTACGTATCTTCTTGTTGTTTGTGTATGCGGTAACAAATGCAGGCTCACATGTATGAACCCTCTACCATGGTTGAGGCAGAATCGTACTCCCTCCCACTTTGTACTCCAGGTCTTCTGTCTTCTGAGATTCTTCTGTCTGTGGGTGGAGTGTCTGGATTACAGGTGCTCATGCTGTGCCTTTGACTCGTCCTCAGGCTTGCACAACAGTTTCACGCATCAAATCATCTCTAGCCCTATGCTGGTAACTTTTAGTAAAGCCTTCTGGAAGGTTTAATAAATGATTTTTATTTTTTACTTATTTTGGTTTTTCAAGACAGGGTTTCTCTGTCTTGGCTGTCCTGGAACTTGCTTTGTAGACCAGGCTGGCCTCCAATTTACTGAGATCCACCTGTTTCTGCCTCCCGAGTGCTGGGATTAAAGGCATTGACAGATTTTTAAAAATTATTTTTGTGATTCTAAGGATTGATCCCAAGATCTTACACATTAAGATCTTACCCAATGATGACCTACATCCCAGTCTCCAAATTAAAACTTGTTGTTTTTAAGAAGTGATTATTTTATATAATTGAGAGCATGTCAAGATGTGGCAGTAATAGATACCTATTAGCAGTGTTTTTCTTGGAATATTTTAGCTGTCTTTTTCTTTTTTTTTTTTTTTTTTAGTGTGAGGAGATGTATAAGGCAACACCAGGTATCATCAGGAATGCCATTCATTTTATTTGAGACTAGATCTCATTTGGCCTGAAGTGTCACCAATTACAGTACAATAGTTGGCCAAGGAAGCCCCAAAAGATCTCTTCTTGTCTCTGCCTTCCTGGTACAGGGATTATAAACTCCTACCAGTATACCCTTTTTTTAAATTCTAGTTCTGGGAATCGATATCAGGTTGTTGTATTTACAAGGCAAGCATTTTACTGACTGTGCTGTCTATCTAGATTTAATATTCTTCTAACTTTTTTAAAAATCCAATAAAGAGTATTTAAGCTGGGCGGTCGTGGTGTGTCCTGAGTCCCATCACTTGGGAGGCAGACTCAGGAGAGCACAAGACTAACTGGTCTACAGAGCAAGTTCCAGGACAACCAGAGCTGTTAGTAACACAGAGAAACTCTTGTTTCAAAAATAATAATATGATGATGATATTTACTACTCAGGGAGGGAAGTTCTGTTGATAAATAATTAAATCAGAGGGTGTTTTATGTGTAAAGATATATTTTAGTAAATTAGTTAATTTTTTTATTATTGGGCTAAGATGCTTTCAGCTGAGCTTGACATCCTGAACTTAATCCCTGAGACCCACATAGCAGAAGAATACTGACTCCCACAGACTGTCCTGACCCACACATATAAAATAAATTAGATTTTTTGTTGTTGTTTTTGTTTTGAGACCAGGTCTCACTGTGTAGCCCAAAACCCACTTTGTAAACTAGGATTCTCCTAACTCTGTCTCCCAAGTATAAAATAAATCTTAAATTGATTTTCATATTGTAGTAAATTGCATTTGTTTATTTCTATGTGTGTGGTGCTAGCAGTTGAACTCAAGACCTCTCTCAAGAATTTAGCCAGGCAAGTGTTCCACTGACCTAAATTTAAATTATAGGTCATGTTGGTAAGCTTTTTTGTTTTCCTAGTTTTTGTGGTTGGGGATGCTTTGTGTTTTGGGAGTGGAAGATTGTGCATTCATGAATGGACATTTAGAATTTATGGGTAAGTTGTATTTTGATGTTGCATTCTCAGATTAGTTCTCTGAAGAGAACCCAGGCATCCTCAAACTCTTTGTAGCTGCAAATGCTCTTGTACTCATAATCTTAATGCCTCCAATCTGCCAGTGCTCTGGAAGTGGAAGTAGGAGCATCTTGAGTTTGAAGCCAAGCTGGGACAGTGGACCTTATGCTAGGATCACAATCATGTGCCACTATTCCAGTGCTGGGGGTTGAGCCCAGGGCTTTAAGGACTCTACTTATTGGGGAACATCTTGAGCTTTCAGCCCCATAAAATGTAAATGTTGTTTACTTAATATTTGGTAGGCCACATGCCACAAGAAAACAACTCTGTGTGGTCAAACTTGTGTCACTGGTCCTTGTGGGCAAGGACCTTTACCCATTGAACCATCTGTATGGCCCCCAGCCCTTAAATTTTTAATAAATGTTTAGTAATGAAGTACTTCAGTATTTCACTAACTTTACTAATGAGCAACAGGTCTCATGGGAATGAGCCCTTTAAAAATGATTTATATCTTAGCTTCAGGTGACTAAAAATGCTAGTGGCACTGTTTTCATATTTTCTAAGCAATGCTTTCATGTTTGATTTTTCTGAAGCGAGGTTCCAAAATGTCTTAGAATTTATGTGTGGATTATGTAACCTCAAACTCACAGTAGTGAGTGCTTCGACTTCCAAAGTACTGAGATTATATTTATGAGCACTACTACTGGCTCAGGGTGGGCACCTGGGATGTGGCAAATTTTTTTTGGTTTTTGTTGGTTAATGGACATTGTTAAAGAAAACAAACAAACTACCTTCTGTTCTAGAAGATACTGACCCTCTGGGTCTCAGAGAACTCTGTCTCTGTCTGGCCCTCTGTAGTGGTGGCCAGGGGCCAGCGCTGCCTGGTGAGGGCTCTCAGCCCAGCCCTAACAGTGAGGTCACTGGCAGGCCAGGATGGTTAGTGATGGTGGCTCATGTGATAACAGTATTGTATATTCTGTGGGGAAAGTGAGGTTTTTTTATACTCATAAAAAAAAAGTCCAACCTAATTCTTTTTTGCAGTAATATGACTTCAGTGTTATGTGTAGCTGCATCTTAAGATGAAATTGTAAAATGATTCTTGTGGAATGCACCTTCTCATAGGATTTATATTGTGTGTCCTCTTCTGAATTTTTCTAACATCCATTTTCTGTTTTGTCTTTTAAATTATCTTTTACCTTAACTTAGTTTTCCAGATCCACTGTTTTTATGTAAAGTACAAAAAATATAATTGATGTCAGTGTAACTTAATGATTGTTTCCTTAAAATATGATAATTTAAACTTTTATGCACAATAAAGTACTATTCTCTGGGATAGGAATAGTTTTTTCAAAAGACAGACTTGAATAATAAAAGGCTTTGACTGTAAGGTAAATGTCAAAGCTGTGATAAATATTAACTGTTTTTAAGTGACTCATCAGATTAATACCAACATGCTTAGTATTTCAGCCTGTTGTGTATGGCATTTTAAAGATACTATTTTTATTTAAAAAAAGAAAAAGCCTTTCATCCACTGCCCACTAACTCTTCTCTTCATTAATCTTACCTTAAAACTTAAAGGAGATTATGTAAGTGGATCTTGTCTAGAACTAGTTTCCTTGGTGTCTTAAATTCATCTTTCTTGGTGTACAAAAACATCTGTAATTCCAGCTACCACTGATAGCATTTGTGTCTTACTTTATTGCATCTGTTTTTTTTTTAATCTAGTTCAAATCTTCCTTGCCTGTAACTTTTTTTTATTCTTTCTCTACCACTGTGTTCGTCCAGTATATCTTTGCTTTAATCTACCATTGATGGAATTGATCCTATAATTGACTTTTAATTATTGGGTATTTTCTGGGGTTTAGTGTAATAAAATTTAGTAAACTACACTGCTTACGTGTATGACTATTCAAACACACAAAACTGAAGAAGCAATGCATCATAGTAGAAGTCTGTGACAAATTGATCAGATTTATCTTGTATGTGATTGTGATTATAAAATTGTCTTACAGAAAACATTGGTTGTATTAACGTCTTTTAACTAATGCTTAATGGGAATCGTGTTAATACTTTGCACACTCTTATAACAGTTTTTGAGATGCAGTGTTAATGATTTAATAAAAATTTCATCCAGAAATACATCTTGAAGGATTATAATCAGAATTAAAGGTTTTCAAGCTATTGGGCTATTCTTGTGAAGAGTTTGCAGAAATCTGTTAACAAGGTCTTTGATTTCATTTATGTGCTTTGAACTCTAGAGATGTTATAGCCCTGAAAATTAAATGAACAGTAATAGGTGCTAACTTGGGGTGTTTCCCTTCTTTAAATCAGCTGTATTTCCTGAACCTGGGTTTTTTCTTGGTAGGTCTGTTTCTATACCGACCAAAACTATTCTTACCTTATAAGAGTAGGTATCAAATAAGCACTGCCTGGCATGGTCAGTAAGAAGGCAGTTAGTTGTGTGGCTTAAATTTGGGCAGAAATCCTTAAAATTGTAGGAAATTATTTATCTTCACATCTGTCTTCACCTCGAGTTAATTTTGCTGCATGAAGGTCTCAACTGTTACTTGATCTTAGATCTTACGTCAGACACTTGACACCCTAAGCTTCATTTACTTGTGATTTTACTTGGTTCTTTCTGAAAGTGATATTCTCATTTTCTAAAGCAGAATACAACTGGTTCATCTTTGACTTGCTGACCTTTTTTTTTTTAATTTTGATTTTTTAATCTTCTAGAACTTAAGCATCATACTATAGAGTATGTTTTTATTCTTCTAAAAGGAAGATACCCATCTGTTTTCAATGAAATTTTGATGCACAAACATCTAGGCCTTGAGTTTAAGTGTTTTTAAGCCCAATATGAAATTCCCTTTGTTAAATTTCAGCATGAAAAGCTACTTTTTAAATATCTATATGCAGGCTCTGCATACATCTGAATCTGTTTAAGATATGTATGAATTCCTTGTAAGTTTGAGATCTTAAGTGGTTTTTTTTTAATCAACATGATGCGTAAGTTTTTTTTTCTTAAAAAACGGCATCTACTTTAAAGGGATTTATGACTAAAACTGCTTATTTTTCTACAGAGTTGTCTGCTGGTTCTCAGCTTGAAGAAGATTCTACAGTCCTTATTGATCCTTTTTCTTGGCGTTACCATTTTTGAAGCAAAGTTAACCTAGCTTTCTAGTTTGAGCTTTCTTTTTGGCCGTCTTTTAAAAACAATTTTTTTTATCTATAAAATAGACAAGAGATAGTTCTACAATGTCCAAGTCATTCCAGCAGTCATCTCTCGGTAGGGACTCACAGGGTCATGGGCGTGACCTGTCTGCAGCAGGAATAGGCCTTCTTGCTGCTGCTACCCAGTCTTTAAGTATGCCAGCATCTCTTGGAAGGATGAACCAGGGTACTGCACGCCTTGCTAGTTTAATGAATCTTGGAATGAGTTCTTCATTGAATCAACAAGGAGCTCATAGCGCACTGTCCTCTGCTAGTACTTCTTCCCATAATTTGCAGTCTATATTTAACATTGGAAGTAGAGGTCCACTCCCTTTGTCTTCTCAACACCGTGGAGATGCAGACCAGGCCAGTAATATTTTGGCCAGCTTTGGTCTGTCTGCTAGAGACTTAGATGAACTGAGTCGTTATCCAGAGGACAAGATTACTCCTGAGAACTTGCCCCAAATCCTTCTACAGCTTAAAAGGAAGAGAACTGAAGAAGGCCCTACATTGAGTTATGGTAGAGATGGCAGATTTGCTACACGGGAGCCACCATACAGAGTACCTAGGGATGATTGGGAAGAAAAAAGGCACTTTAGAAGAGATAGTTTTGATGATCGTGGTCCTAGTCTCAACCCAGTGCTTGATTATGACCATGGAAGTCGTTCTCAAGAATCTGGTTATTATGACAGAATGGATTATGAAGATGACAGATTAAGAGATGGAGAAAGGTGTAGGGATGATTCTTTTTTTGGTGAGACCTCGCATAACTATCATAAATTTGACAGTGAGTATGAGAGAATGGGACGTGGTCCTGGCCCCTTACAAGAGAGATCTCTCTTTGAGAAAAAGAGGGGCGCTCCTCCAAGTAGCAATATTGAAGACTTCCATGGACTCTTACCGAAGGGTTATCCCCATCTGTGCTCTATATGTGATTTGCCAGTTCATTCTAATAAGGTGAGTTAAAGCAACAGATGCTTCTAATTTCTTTTACATTGTAGTACCTATTCTGTATTTACCTATATCTTTTACTCTAATTCTGTAGTCTGATGACATTGAGTTGATCAAGAATTGTTATGCTTTTGAGAACACTTTATTTGGAAGGTAATTGTTTTTGAGCAGTATAAACCAGGGCTTTACATTAATAAAAACAATCTACCTAGAATGCTTCTGGCCACAAAGCTGTCATCCATTGGGATTATCTTGTTTTTTTGGCATCAGTATGTTCTTCTTAATCATATTTAAGCAGGCTTTTTTCCCCCTAGTCTGCTTTGTTGAATGTTTTAAGCATTTTTTTCCTGAAGTCAATGTGCTTTGCCATTTAGGATGCTAGATTTCAGCTTTCCATCTGTCTTGATTGCTGATTTGTATGTAGTCAAAGATATATTCTTGTACAATTCTCTTTTTTCCTTATCTGTGGCTACAGGGAAAGTTAATGTAGAGCCCTGGTGTGTGTTTCAGTATGTTTCATATTTTAGATTAGTTCATTCTTCCTTTTTTAATTTCCCTTAACACAAACTCTCATACTATGACTGAAATTTTGCATCATTTTTTTTCTCTGTTTCCACAACTTCCTTAAACATACTTCAAAGCTCACTTTTTATTATCCCATATTTATTGCATCTGTCCCTTTAGAGACTTTGATAAATCGTTGACTACATTATCCTGCTCTGTGTTCCTTGTAAGAAAATTCTTTTTCTGACTTAAGCTTATTGTACTTCTGGAATAGTCATTTGTGGGAGGAAAAAAAAAACAAGCCTAATTCTCCTTTAAGTATCACATCTGGCAAAATGGAAGCCTTTTCAAAATGCCCTTTTAAATATTGTCCTTCTCTTTCAACTTTTTCAGTGTTACTCATTCTCACTGGAGTTTTTGAAATTCTGTTTTTCAGTATATATTGCAGTTGACATAAAGTCAATGGTACAGCACCCCCACTAGCTTGATCTGTAATCTGTCAACATCCATTTTTCCCGATGTGCTTTGTAGTAACCTATCTAGCTGGAATGAGTGCTACCCTGAGATTGATTTTATGGTCACTGTTACAGGGTTTTTCTTTACAGTAAGATCTGGGACATTTTCTTTTCATATCACATTCTTTTAACTTCATTTTTTAGTGTTTTTTTTAATCTACTAGACCCTATTGAATTTTTTATGTATTGTTCCCTTTTCAATGATTAGATCTCAACATTTTTTATCTTTTAATCTTTTATTTCATATCAAATAAGTTAAAATAAAAGCCAAAGTTAAGTTTGTAGATTTTTTCATTTAAGAAACAGATCCGCCGGGCTTGGTGGCTCATGCCTGTAATCCCAGCACTGGGAGGTGGCAGGTGGATCTCTGAGTTCCGGGCCAGCATGATGTACATATTAAGTTCCAGGCCAGCCAGGTCTACATAGTGAGACTCTGTCTCAACAAAGAAATAAAACCTGGAGCTAGAAAGAATCAACAAATCTTGTTTGTTAGATATTTTTATTTTTCCCAGATTTGTTAGCTATGCCATGGAATTTATTTTGGTTTTTATTATTTTTAAACTTCAAGATTTAGTCTGATGTAAATTAAAGCAATGAAAAAAGGTCCATTAAAATTGATTGACTCCAGCTTTTCCTATGTTACTTCTTAATCTCTTTTCCAAGAAATATAGCAGAAATTATATGTTCTCAGAAAAGATCTCCAAATTCCAAGGAAAATAGTTACAGGGATCAAGTGAAAGTTATCTTAAAGAACTGCAAATCTTTGCCGTTGGAAGAAAGGAACCATAAAAGGGTTTGTCAGATTAAAAATGTTTCTATTTTGTATAAGATTTTTTTTCCTCCAAATTTTACTACTTTCTAGTTCGCAAAAAAGGCTAATAATTTAAATGAATCTAAATTAAGGAGTATTTTTAGCTTATAAAACTGCTTGGGTTCTAGTTTGCAAATTCAAAATTTTGGGTATATTTAACAATTATTTTAGAGGACTTTTGCTTAGCCATTGGGTTTTATAAAATTTGTGTTTGTAGGTTAGACCAATTGGAACAAAATTAATCACTTGGATTTTCTCTTTTATAGTTGCCTCAACTTAGCTGATGTTTTCTCTGTATCTGCTTCATTAAAAAAGCAATTTACTTCAGCAATGAACTGTTAACAGATGCAGTTGTTACTTTTTAAGAAATTACTGTGGTGGACATAAACATTGAAAAAAATAAGTATCCTGCTCTCTGGTATCACTGCATAACTTGGAAAATCTGTAGTTTTCACTTAATGGTAATGTTAAATGGCCTACATTATACAAAGTTCAAGTGAAAAGCATGGTGTAACTTGTCATGATGGAGTGCCCTTATTTTATATTTTTTAGATGATTTTTAAGTAATAGTCTTCCTTTGAGTTTTTTCTAGGTCACCTTAGAACATCAAGTCGCATCTCTATACAGTTTCAAACTTCAAGTTCTTTGACTTAAAGAAAATTGCCCACTGCAACCTTTTTGTCTTATTACTTGAATTTCTATTTGTTTCCTTTTAGTATTACTTAAGTCTTTTAATTAATTCTTTTCTGTCACATTGGAAATACTTCCAGAATGATTATTATAAAACTTACTATTATTATGTAAAACCTGAAAGACATTGAGTGTGAGTGTAGGGTGCCCCCCCACTAAACTTGTAAATTCAAAAAGTGAATCCCTATTCTTTATCTCATGTAGGAATTATGTCAGAATAGAATCCAGGTTTTTTTGTGTTGTTTTTAATTGTTGGATTCTTAGTCCTTATTCTAAACCAGACATCAAGTACAGTGGAGCTGATTAATAATGGATGGGTTGGGAGGTACATAACTAAGTTTCTGATCTTGGCCTTCTTCTTAGTGCTTGAAAGACCAGCTACATTTTTACCATAAACTTGAAACTTATAGGACATGGGGGATTGGATGTAATTTCTTTGCAACTCTGTGCCCTTTCCATCTCCTATAATTCAGAAGCATGCTTAATAGGATAACATTCATTCTTTTCCTAAAACACTGCTTCTTAAGGATAGATATTTGTATCTGAAGTTGTTCTGAAACTCTTTTAGGTTGATGGATTCGTTTAGTCCCTTTTCTGAATTTGTGAACTTACCTATGGTGCCTCTTGCTTACAGCCATTTTTAAAATGGCTTCCAGAAACGGTCTATTGTGTTGCAAGTAGAAACTTTAGCCCAACTGTCTGATTGTGTAACAGTTATGGAAATCTCTCAAGTTCCTATTAGCTATTACTTTTGAAAGACAATCTAGTTTTCAGAAATACTAAGAATAGTAGTTGATAGCACCTCATTCTAATTACTATTTTGTTTGGATATGTTCCATTTCACTTCTTTAACATTGTTTTGATTAACTTTCTAGAGCACTATCTGTAGACTGCTGTAATAGAAGTCAAAATTAGGTCCAGTTTATAAAATGTCATTTTGAGCCTTTGTAAAACTCCTTGTGTAATTTGATGTTATATTTTCATTTAGCTGAGGCTCTCTAATCCCCTTGTTTGAGGAAAAATGCATTGCCTGACCATGTTTATATTCTACTTAGAACTTTCAAGAACAGTGCTAGTTTAGAAATTGTCTCGATTTGTGGAAACTTGTAAAAAAATCAAAACTACTTGTAAAACAATGTGAATTTCTGAGATAATGCAGTATAGATAACTTCATATGCTTGGCAGTGTTCAGATAGTTTGCCTTTATTATTTCATTTGTTTTTCACCACGATAGGGGAATTTTGTTGCAATGAATTTGACTAACTTAGACTTAGGAGTCATATCTAGTTATATTGTATTTTAGGAAATAAACCAGGGCATTTTGGCAGCAAACCCACCTTTCCTAACTCTTATATTGGATAAAAAATTAACCAAACATCTTTCTTAGCAAAAGGAAAATTAATTTGAATCATATAAATTTAGTTAATGGCTTATATTAAACTAAATCACAAAAAAGGAAATACTGATGGACTACATTGTTTCCCTCCTTAAATTTTGGAAAAAGGCACTCCTTAAATTTGATTCTGTTTTAGGTAAATGTGGGAACTTAAATTTTTGACAAATGGGGAAAATTTCTTAGATAAACCAATTCCATTTAATCATGTTGGCCTTTTTTGACAGTACTTTTTTGTTGTTTTGTTTCATTTGGCTATAGTAGAAAGTATAGTATGTTTGGAATTTGCCTAAAAGTCAAGGTGAAATTAAAGATTCTACTTTAAATTATTCACACACATTTTCTAGAAATCTAGGTATGTGGCTATTTTGTTATACAGAGTATTACAAAATAATCAATTCCAAAAATAGTGGATACTTGAGTATGGTCCACAGCAGTAACTGTGGTCAGTTGACCTCAAGGTCCGTTGTTCTTCTTGATCCGTACTATCTTCATATTTCCACTGTCAGGTCTCAATTATGTTGACCAAATTAATCCAGTTTTTCCAAGAATGTGCATAGAGTATTTGAGGGCAGGATCGAGCTTCAAGAACTCAGAAGTGGTTTTAGCTTAAACCACTGTGACTTAATAAATGTTGAACAACTTGATACTGCATACACATTAATGGTTCATGAAAATATTTTAGCTTTTAACTTTTGTTAATTCTGCTAATTTACTTTGCTGCAGGAGTGGAGTCAACATATCAATGGAGCAAGTCACAGTCGTCGATGCCAGCTTCTTCTTGAAATGTAGGAATTTGAAATATGTATAAAGCATCCTTACCGTGAATCAGAAACAGCCATTATTAGTTTGGGGAAGTTTATCCTTTCCTTATACACATATTGTTACTGTCACATAATTGATAATGTCTGGTTGATATTTAATTTTAGACAAACTATCTTAATGAATAATAGATATAATGATACTTTGTTTCTTGTTTTTTTTTAATTTATAGGATAAATACACATTGGCCTGTTAATCAAGAAATCGTTTTAGTAGAATTAATGAAAAAATAGCAGTTTGTAATCAAAATATATTATAGCACTTTAATAACAGTTAATATAAGCTATAAAACAATAAATATAGAGGGATAATTAAAAATTGCTAGAAACCAAGTTCATTTCCTCATGGAAATGACATACATAGCTTTCACTCTGAATGTAGGCTGCTAAATTGAAATGAAATTCAAATAAACCACCTATTATAGCAGATACCATCCATATATACCTAACTCCTTTGAGGCTTAACTCTGCTCTGATACCTTCCTTGGGGAAAGAAACTTGGTGCGTGTGTGTAAAAACCTCCTTCCTAATTCTTTGTGCAGCACTTTACCTACTTGCAAAATTTTTTTTTAAAGGTTTATTTTTATTATGTATACAACATTTTTCCTCCATGTATGCCCGCACGCCAGAGGAGGGCACCAGATCTCAGTACAGATGGTTATGAGCCACCATGTGGTTGCTGGGAATTGAACTCAGGTCCTCTGGAAGAGCAGCCAGTGCTCTTAACCTCTGAGCCATCTCTCCAGCCCCCCCCCCACTTGCAAAATTTAACAAGGAACATTTCAACATGCATCACTTAAGTTTACAAGTATTGCAGTCTTAATACAAATCATTTGGTGTCTGAAGTTCCTTTTGAAATGTAGATTCTCAGATTTACTAATGAATCATCTCTGTTTTAGAGGCTTAAGGAGACTACTTTGTGAAAAGAACCTTTTTATTTTAAAATTAATTTTCTGATCTTTTTAAAGCTACCCAGAATGGAATCCTGACAATGATACTGGACATACAATGTAAGTTAAAAAAATTTTAGCTATTGTTTATATTGGAGATCAGTGTAAGGAATCCAAGTTTAACTTTCTATGTTTCATAAAAATATATTCTGTGTTTTTTTTTTTGCCAAATAAGGATTTGATAATTTATTTAAAGTACCAGTGTAAGGAATTTTTAGAAAACAATATAGTAATACTTCTTTTTTCACTGTTAATACATTTCCCACTACTTGCCGTGTGTGTGTACTACTTAAGCTAAAATAGTCATAGTTACATAAGAGGTAATTTAATAATTTTATATCTGATGATTCTTTTTGTTTATTTTGTGCTTCGTGTATTTTGTTCTTATTACAAGGGGTGATCCATTCATGCTGCAACAGTCTACAAACCCAGCACCAGGAATTCTGGGACCTCCACCTCCTTCATTTCATCTTGGAGGACCAGCAGTTGGGCCAAGAGGAAATCTGGGTGATTATATTAAATTTATATTGCCTTTTAGTGTAAATGGTAGTCTTAGATGTTACTAAAAAATTCTTTTAAAGTAACAGCTTAGAAAGATAGTCACAGAGTTAGAGAGATGGCTCAGTGATTAGGAACACTGGCCGCTCTTCCAGAGGTTCAGGATTCAATTCCCAGAACCCACATGGCAATGTACAACTGGAGTCTGTAACTCCAGTTCCAGGGGATCTGACACCTTTACACCAATGCACATAAAGTAAAGTTAAATTAATTTTTTAAAAGAAAAGGCAGTCCTGGGAGGAGGCGGAATAAAAAAAAAAAGAAGGCAGTCATAATGTCTTCCCATTTGTATTTGAAAGATGTCCTATTTATTTATTTATGTATTTATTTAAATTAAACTACCTTGCTTTGCCTGACAGTAAGTAGTGCCACATGCCTTATAATCCTAGCACTCGGGAGGGATAGACAAATGGATCTCTGAGTTTGAGGCCAGCCTGGTCTACAGAGTGAGTTCCAGGACAGACTCCAAAGCTAGAGAGAAACCCTGTCTCAAAAAAAAGGAAACAAAAAAAGCCATCTTGCTTTATAAGGAAGTATATTTTTTTGTGAATCTTTAATTTTTTTTTTTCTTCTGCACAGGTGCTGGTAATGGGAACCTACAAGGACCAAGACACATGCAAAAAGGCAGAGTGGTCTGTATTACAGCTGTTGCTTTTATCATAATTGCTGTTGGGAATGTGACTCCATTTAAATGCTTACTAATTGAATCTTTTGGGGGTGGGAGGGTTTCAAGGCAGGGTTTCTCTGTTGTAGCACTAGGCTGTGTAGACCAGGCTGACCTCATGTTCAGAAATTCAGCTGCAATTGCCTCGAGTGCTGGGATGAAAGACATTCACCACCATGCCGACTGCTTATTGATACAGTCTTAATCACAGTCCTTATAACAGGATGAGTATTTTAATTTGAAAACTATTATGCTTGCTGGATGTAATGACATTTGCTTAATTCCTTCATTAAAGAGACAGGCAGAGAGATCTAGATCTCTTTGAGTTTGAGGCTAGACAGGAGCAGCATAGTGAGACCCGATCTTAAAAAAAAATAATAGAAAGAAAGAAAGAAAAGAGATTTCTTAACACAGTTGGTTTTACATGACTGGTAACCGTCAGTCAAAAGATTTACCTTAGTAACTTTGGTATCCAGTTGTGTTCATAGTTTTCACTGAAAGAATCTGGGTTGGAAAGATGGCTCAACAGCAGCAACACTGAATTTGACTGTCAGGACCCACATGGTAGAAGGGGGAAAAAAGTTATTTTCTGACCTCCACACTAATAGCATGAAAATGCTCACACATACGTTTAATTTATTAAAATGTAACAAGGATATGTAGAGAGGCTGTTTTTGAAACTTGACTGTAAAAACTACCATTTGATTTTTTTTTTTTTTTTTGAAGGTTTATTCTAGTTGAGGCATGGTGACTAACATCTTTAATCCCATCATAGGAAGCAGGGGCAGGCTGATGTAGAGTTTTAGCTACATAATGAGATACTGTCTTAAAAGACAGAATGAGGGCTGGAGAGATGGCTCAGTGGTTAAGAGCATTGCCTGTTCTTCCAAAGGTCCTGAGTTCAATTCCCGGCAACCACATAGTGGCTCACAACCATCTGTAATGAAGTCTGGTGCCCTCTTCTGGCCTGCAGATAAACACACAGAATATTGTATACATAATAAATATTTAAAAAAAAAAACCAGAATGAGTGATTTTATTCTGGTAACATTTAATATGCTGTGTACTTTATATTCTCTAGATGCTAAAAGTTATTAAGTAAATCTTTTCTGGTTGGTCATAGAATAAACATTTTAATACATAATTGGTTTTGCCAACTTTTGGGGGGGTATTGGAAATCAAACCTAGGACCTTGGCTATGTTAGCAAGGATTTAAACACTGCAGTACAGCCTTCCTCTTCCCCCCCCCCTCCTTTTGTGTATGTTTTGAGAATTACTCAGGCTGCCCTTAAGTTTTGTTGCTGGTGGGGGGAGGTCTCAGCCTTCCAAGTAACTATATTCTCAGATCCAGCTTCTTTCTTTAGTTTGTAGTACATTATATTTTGATCATAGCCAGACTTTTGGTGGTGCACGCCCTTGATCCTGGCACTGGTAACGGAACCTTGAGTGAGTTCAAGGCCAGCCTGGTCTGCAGAGCAAGTTTGAGTACAGCCAGCACTGTTACACAAAGAAACCCTCTCTAAACAAGCAAACAAAAACAATATATTTTGGTTGCATTTTCCCCTTTCTGCCCACCCAGATTTATGTTCATGTTCTCTTTCACACACACACACACACACACACACACACACACAAATAAAAATCAAATCAAAACAGTTGAAAGACCATTGGGGGATTTCCTTAAAAATACGTTAGTGTGGGGCCAGAGATCCTCAGCAGTGAATAGCACACATACTGTTCTTAGAGGTGACTCAAATTTGGTTTCTAGATCCTGTGTTGGGTAGTTGAATGGTTTCTATTCCAACTCCAGGGAATCTAACCGTCTTCTGGCCTCCACAAGCACTCAAATAAGGATACCCACACATATAGTAAAATAAGTTTTGTTTTGTTTTGTTTTGTTTTTTCGAGGCAGGCTTTCCCTGTAGCATTGGAGCCTGTCTTGGAACTATCTCTTTTAGACCAGGCTGGCCTCAAACTCAGAGATCCACCTGCCTCTGCCTTCCAGGTGCTGGAATTAAAGGCGTGTGCCACCACTGCCCAGCTACAATAAAGTAAATTTTATATAAAAGTTATGTGTGTGCAAATGCTGAGTATATACTACTGTCACTGAAATATATACCCAACTACTTCAAAATGCCTTTAAAGGACTTTTATTGACATTTTTTCTTTTCTCTCTAATGGGTAGGAAACCAGCAGAGTTGTTCACATTATGGATTTTCAGCGAGGAAAAAACTTGAGATACCAGCTATTACAACTGGTAGAACCATTTGGAGTCATTTCAAATCATCTGATTTTGAATAAAATTAATGAGGTATGAGTAGGAATATTAGTTATTCATAGCACTCATATATTAAAGAAATTGATTTTAGATTAATGGAAAATTTTATGTAAATTGAAATATCAGAGGAAGAGATATATCCTAATATTAAATAGATATTTTTTAGTGAGTATATCATTTGTGAGCCCTAAGTTTAATATCAGCTTGACCACACTGGTCTTTTTCATTTTGATTATTGAAGGTGCTTCCTATTAAATGATTAAATACAATGGTGTAAAATCTATAAATATTGGGGTAATATTTTTAGAAATTTCTTTTTGTGTAATTTTAGGCATTTATTGAAATGGCAACCACAGAAGATGCTCAGGCTGCCGTGGATTATTATACAACTACACCGGCATTAGTATTTGGCAAACCAGTCAGAGTTCATTTATCCCAGAAGTATAAGAGAATAAAGGTTAGTAGTAGCTTTTCATTTGTCCTTGTCTTTAGGTTGTATGTAATAAGCTTAATACATCATTTTTGTAATTGTTCACTTGGTTTAAAAGCTAAGACTGTTAATAATTGTAGCATACCTGCCAACTTTTGACTTGCCTTTCAACTATTTATAATTTTTTTTCTGTTTTCTTTTAAAGAAACCTGAAGGAAAACCAGATCAGAAGTTTGATCAAAAGCAAGAACTTGGACGTGTGATACATCTCAGCAATTTACCGCATTCTGGCTATTCTGACAGTGCTGTCCTCAAGCTTGCTGAGCCTTATGGGAAAATAAAGAATTACATATTGATGAGGATGAAAAGTCAGGTAATAAACATGGGGAGGTTTTTAAGAGTAAGTTCTTAATGCACTTTAAGATAATTTTACTGGGAGAGATGTCAGTAGCAGAAATGCAGTATTTTGTGGGTTGAGTATATCTAAATCATTATCATTATTATTTTAGTTAGATGCTTATGGTCAAGCATCTAAATTTTGAAAATACAAAGTGGAAAGTAAACTGTTTTCTCTTGTCATGATAAAAGCCTAGTTTACTTTTAGACTTTTCTTCCTAAAGTTCTTACACATATATAGACACTCGTCTTTGAGGATTTGGTTAGTGGTTGTGAGATTTGTTTTGTTTTTTATGCAGGGCTTTGTTAGATAGCTCTTGCTAGCCTCAAATTTAATATGTAGCCCAGGCTGCCCTCCATCTTGATAAAATCACTCACTCTCTCTTGGCTGAGCCACTATGACAGCCAGCTTTTCAGAATCCAAATTTAGCATCTGAATTCACTTTACTCATATTTAAATTTTTTTATGTAAAGAATTTAGAGGACAGAATGAAACTCAGAAGTACAGCCTTGGGCTTCAATCACCAGTAATACACAGAATCAGGAGAGTATTGGGAGTTTTTGATGCAAGGTATACAATTGCTCTGCTGAAGATTTCATACAGAATAGTTTTATATAGTTTCTGTGAGAAATAATGTCATCGTGGGTTTCTCTCCCTCTCTCCAGGCTTTTATTGAGATGGAGACCAGAGAAGATGCAATGGCAATGGTTGACCATTGTCTGAAGAAGGCACTTTGGTTTCAGGGGAGATGTGTTAAAGTTGACTTGTCTGAGAAATATAAAAAACTGGTGCTGAGGGTAGGTAGTTCTTAATAGTCTTAACATCTTAGATGACAAGGTCTAACTATGTAACCTAATCTCCCAAGCTACTGGGTTCAACTTACCTTACTGCTTTGACTAACAGCTAAGATAAGTCTATATGTCTGGCAAAAGACACAAAGGTGTTTTCTGTCCACCCTTTTTGGGAGGAGAAGGGAAGGATAGACAGGGTTTTGTTAAAAACTCTACCTAGGACGCGCTGTAAATCAGGTTGCAGTCCTCCAGTGCAGTGCCGTCCTTCATGGTATTTAGCCTTTTTTTGCTTAACGCTTGGAGAGATGGCTTAGTGATTTAAAAGTAGTTGATACTCTTACAGAGAGAATCCAGGTTCAGTTCCCATCACCCATATGATGGCTCAGGATCACTCCTGTTCGAGATTCTGTCCTCTCCTCTAATCGCTGAGCATCAGGCATGCATAGGAAATACTCAAGTACATGCAGACAAAACCCTTATAGAACAAACCCATATAAAATAAGAAAAATAATGGGCTGGGTATGGTGGCACACCATTTATTAATCCTAGCTCTCAAAAGCAGAGACAGACAGATCTCTGAGTTCAAGGCCAGCCTGGTCTACGTAGTGAGAAGCTCCCCCCCCCCAAAAAAAATAAGGTAGCTTATTGATATGGTTGGTTTTTGGTAGTGGTGGTTTGTGTGTGTTTGTACATGCGTATGCACAGGGTTTCTCTGTAATCTTATGTAATCTTAGCTGTCCTGGAACTCTGTAGACTAGATTGGCCTCGAGCCCCAGAGTACTTCCTACTGCTGCCTTGAGTGCTGGGATTAAAGGCGTGTGCCATCAACCACCTGCCCTCCTCTCCTCCCCGTTTTTTTTTTCTCCCCTTTAAAAATAAAAGGCTCCTCTTTTGCAGTAGAAAGATTGTGTTTTGTGAAAGCATCATCCATTGCTCTAACCTGTTTAAACTTTATTAGAGTTATGCTTCCAAAATGATTTATTGCTCACTTCTTTGTTGATTTGGGGGTTGAAATGAACTTTTAAAATCCAAGTAGATTTTCTTAGGTGTGGTTGTACAGATTGAATGAACTAAATTGATTATATAAAGAAGGAGGGTTGAAGAATGTTACTTAATTGATAAATTCTACAAATGGGTAAATTTTTTAATGTATTTAATTTCTCAAAACTTTTATCTTTCAGATTCCTAACAGAGGCATTGACTTGCTGAAAAAAGACAAGTCCCGGTAATTTCATTTTTCATATGTCTGTCTGTATACTGCATAATAATTGCTAGTCTTTTTGCTGTGACAAAAATATCTGGCCCAAAGCAACTTCAGGAAAGAACAGTTTGATTAGGCTTACAAGTTTAAACACCCAGGAAATAATAGCAGTGAGAGTTTGGTCACATTGAAAGATAAATGCTGGCCGGGCGATGTTGGCGCACGCCTTTAATCCCAGCACTTGGGAGGCAGAGGCAGGCGGATCTCTGTGAGTTCGAGACCAGCCTGGTCTACAGAGCTAGTTCCAGGACAGGCTCCAAAGCCACAGAGAAACCCTGTCTCGAAAAACCGGAAGGAAGGAAGGAAGGAAGGAAGGAAGGAAGGAAGGAAGGAAGGAGGGAGGGAGGGAGGGAGGGAGGGAGGGAGGGAGGGAGGGAGGGAGGGAGGGAGTAGGGAAGAAAGTATTATACTTCATTTGTTGATTTAAAATTTTAAA